AAGTATTTGGCAATAATACTATGAGCTGAGCTTCCTAACATTATAAAGTATTACTGGTAAGAGAGGTGAATGTGTGAAATATAATTTTTACTTAAAACTCACAAGTTCAATTCGGATAGATCTTGCCAATTCAATACCCTCTCTATGCAAAGTGCAAACTATCAATTGGTTTACTTTGGAGCCAAGAAATTAAACGGGTTTATCCCATCCCTCAATTGGTTCACTTTGGAGCCGAGAAATTAAACTCCACCAATATTCTATTCATGTCGAACATTAATTTGTCCTCTGATGTATCTTCAAATGCTAATTCCAACGTACGTAGTACCGGTGGGTCTTAATGCTATTGAGCTCCAAAGTCCCATAAATGAATAATGGCATCATCATTGTTACAAGCTGCTACATGTCTATCATCCCCTACTATCACATGCAAATCGCCTAATCTTTCCCTAACACTATAAACATATCTTCCACCCTCTCTCTCAAAAACCCTAATCACACCCCCGGCGCACATTAGCACGTACCCCCCATTCATGCATGCAACAACCACCCCAGACCCACCACTCCTAACGTTTAACCTGCACGTTTCTCCCAAGTCCTCCGCCCGGCGAATGCTAGCCACCCCGCGGTCCTCCGCCACCATGAACGATTCGTTATCGACGTCCAAGGAGCCCACCATCAGTCCTCCGGGAAACTCTTCTTCCCCTATGATGAAGCCTTGGTTTCTTAGGTCGAAGACGATGAGGCGGAGGCTGGTGCACGCCACCACCGTTTCTTGGCTAGTTACCCGGACTCTGCCCACCGGCGCCGTCAACTCCGTTAGGAGGTGCCAACCCATTACCGCCTCTGGATCGGTCAGTGTGCCGCCGACGAAGACTAACTCCTCCGACTCACCATCCCATACGTGAAATGCACGTCCCGGAACGCCTGAAAATTTTCAAATCTTCATTAGTAGCCAAGTTCATATAGCCCAGTCAAATCCAGCATCCTGCCTCTCAAAAATATGGTGGCGGTATAAGAAAATAAAATTACATTGAATTATAATTTTTGGTATCACAGCCAAGTCTGAGTGATAAGCTTTTGATCCTAGCATAATTCTGTTTTCAAATTTGGAATATAAAATGGATAAACTAAAAGTACCTGCATAAAGGCCAACCCACCACTGGTGACAGCCGGAGAAGTCAACCAAAGCCCCGTCATTGACGACGTCGCCTAAATGGGCTCGGCGCGGGAGGCCGGGGTTTCCGATAACAACCACGTGAATATCACCGTCCTGGGAGGCAAACACAAGGCGCGTATCGGACAAAATGATCCCCGACACGGCGCTGGAAAACCGGCCCAGGCGATCTCGGTAGTGAGGCCGGAACGTGGACAGGTGAAACCTACTGGGAATATGGAACAACCGAACAGACCCATCGGAGAATCCCGCGGCCAGGTGGTGGTCGGAGAGCACCAGACGGCAGCAGCGGAGGCCGTTGACGTCGTTGTCCGTCGGTGGCGGATCGAAACGGAGGTTGGTGTAGATGTACCTTCCCACGCGGAAATTATTAGCCGTTTGATGCCAGTATATGTATTCCTCCCGCCACGTGTTGTGTTGGATGCCACGCCGCCGCTTCCATACCCGGCCGGTCAGGCTTTCCCATAGGAGATCGGAGCGTGACACAGCTCTCCATGTTGAGCAAACCTATTCAAACCATATCATAGTAACTAACCCTCCAAGCTGATTATCAGTCTTTTTAGTTTAAGGTTACAAAACAGACTTCACCCAATACAGAGTTGCAGACTTTACTTAATATAAAGTTACATATTTCCCCAGACTCAAAGAAATTATTTTATAGTAGTAAATTAATCTTTGATATAAGATAAATTATATATCCGAGTGTAAAGCATGGTGATTAAGTAGCGGAAAAGTTGGATCTTGTACGGCATTCAAGTCAAACATAGAAGTATGTACGGAGTATAAAGCCAAAACATGTCCAGATAAGAGTTGGCATTCGTAAAAAACAAAACATGAGGAAAAACAAATCACTGTTCCCCATTCCCACATCCCAAGCCATAGATGATCCAACGTCGCAGACAATGAATGGGGATTCTTAAAAACAAAAAAGCCAAAAGTAATGGCTGTTCCCCATCCCCACATCCCCCAACTAATTGCACATTACTGTACAATGTTATCAAGAGTCTCAAGGGTCCCTATCAAACCTAGCTTAGCTATTATGAACTTTTTTCCCTGTTTTGTCTGATACGGCGAGCATATATATGCAGCCCTGAGCCCCGAAAAGGGCAGGCACCTCAATGGCAACGGAAATGGAGGATAGAGGAGATAAGTAATATAATTTGGGTCAAAAAGTTGTGAATTTTTTTTCTAGAGCTTGAAAAAGGACGAGGCAAAGCAAAGGGAAAGGAACTATGGAGAACCAAACATCCCCTTTTTTCCTGTCTTCAAGATTCAAACATATTCCCAATACGGGCAAATCCAAATATGTGCAATCCAAAAATGGACATTTTCTGATGAAAATGAAAGGTGGCGGTCAATTCATATGTTCCACCACCGGACACTACAAAAAAAAAAAAAGAGAATGAAATATAATAGTTGGCCTAGTAATATATTAAATTTTCTCAAATAACCCCATATTATAAGTGTCTTGAGCTGACACTAAGACATCTTTAAACCTGTACCATACTCAGATTAATCATCACTCGCACTAGGCCGACCCAATTAAAAGATAAAGTGCTGGTTAGAAAGGCTTCTTCATACGAGAAGAGATTCGACCTCTCGACTTTTCTTGAAAGATGAGAGTGCACAGCTACTCACGTGTTAACCAAGCTGGTTTATAATTATAATGTTTTAAAACCTAGCCAGCTCACACTCAAAATTTCTCTCATTTGTCTTCTTTTGACCCACTTCAGCTAGCAGTGCTCTGCCAATCTCTTTTTACTTGTGAATCTTATTAAATTTTACCCTTTCCAAGATGAGGATAGCCACACTTTGACCGGTCCTTCACTAGACTTGTCCCTAACTGCTTGGGACAAGTTTAAGATCAGACTCAGTTTCAGACCAATCCTGAGTTATACAAAAATCAGGACTGCCCTTTACAGGATAGGTACCTGGACAAAATACACCTCAAATGACCCAGCTGATTTGCAATAACAAGCATTTTTTTTACTCAAAAATTACCTAATTATGTTGGATAATTAATTTTCTCTTATTATTATTTTTAAATACAATGAAGGAAAGATAAAAATATGAAATATTAGAGGAAATGAGACCATACAATCTTGAGAGTAAATAACTGAAAAATACATATCATTCCAATAGTTAAAAAAAAACGTGAACACTAAACTTCGAATCCTAGGCATAGGAGGTCATCTAATCACCTATATTTTCCATTACAAACATTTTTAAAGCTTCAAATCAAAATTACCTAGATATATATGTTTAATAAATTATATTTCTTTTATCGAACTAAAATATTAAAAGCAATGAGACCAGGCAACCTTGGCATCATAATCAATACTATCCCAAGAAAAAAACTCTAAATCACGAGCGAAAAAGGCATCAAATCGCCTATATTTTCATCTACAACATTTTTGGGCTCCAACATTTCCTATATTCATTTTTTTTTCTTTTATTTAATAATTGACCTCAAAATATTGTAAGGTAGGGTTTGATACGTAAGATTGGTAAGAATGAGACCGACATGGATTTGGTCAAAGATACGCACCAACCCAAGTCCTGGCAAAATCATTAGTTCTAATCCCACTTTTTATGTGATATTTGTTCACCAAAACTTCTCATCCTCTCTCTCTCTTTGAGTATTTGTTGTACACTAAAACAGTAATTAATACGTACACGATATAACTACTTTGACCACTCATCGGAAAGCAGTTACAACAAAAAATTTAAAAAAAAAAAAAAAAACAAATAAATATTTTTATAATTTCAAAATTAAAATTTTTTGTATTTATTGATATTTTCAAGTAGATAAATTTCATACATTAATATTAAAAATAAATAAATAAACAATGCAAGTCAAATCTAGGACTCATATACCAGGGGAAGAAGGACATTATTTAATGTGATTAGATTAGATTTACAGTAATTGAATCAAACACGTAATACGGCGGTGTGGAGAATACCTGAAACATATTGGCCAACGCTGCGCCGGCGGCGAGGCGGCCAAAGCTACGAGAAGCGTCAATGGCGACTTGAAAAGCTAAGGCTTCGACGAAAGGCTCCGGCCAGACGCCGTTGGCCGCCTTCATGCGGCTTCGAGACGACGACGACGATGGACCGGGATCAAACTCCTCCTCCTCGCCGCTTCCGTCTCCACCTCCAAATCCTTCCGGAGAAGAAGAACGAGCAGATGGAGACGAAGAGGACATATATATGATGAAAGAAAGAAATGTATGATTGTATGTGTGTATATATATGATGGGGATGTATGTAAAGGCGAAAGAGTAAGTAATAGTAACGTATTGAAGCTAAATCCTAAATGGTGATGGTTGAAGACAAAAGAAGGTAAGCCAAATGTGGAAAAAAGGAAAGGGATAGATAGACATAGAGACAAATGGGCCCCAATACAAAATCGAAAAATGACTTTTGGAATTCCGTTTCATAGAGTAGCAGGTTTAAGACGGTGATAATGAGATTACTTATTATAATAATTACATTACAATAAATTTAAATTTCAAATCTGAGATTCTCTCATTATTTTTGTTCTTCTCCCAAAGAAGTTGAGGTAAATCACAGTAATTCATTGGTTCGCAAACAATATCTGTCATAAACGGTGATAATTCTCTTGCTGTCAAATTCTGAACCTTGATATCTTCTCTCAAATATCGCCTATTAAATCACTAAGTTAAATCCGTGCAGGCATTATTTTTATTCTTGACTCTGAAACCGCGATAAAGGAGCTGTCGATAACCATTTTGGGTATTAACTCATTATCTTTCATTTGCAATCATAGGTATGTTTGGTTTTAGGTACAAATAAGGATAAGTCCACTTAACCCAAAATATGTTTAGCCAAATCTAATACATAGGAAGTGTATTTTTGTATACATAAAACTCCCATTTTTATTATACAACAACAAATATAGTACAAGAGATTGCGAGTATAACAAATGGTAACAGACTAACAGAAATGGACTGCCTCAACTTCCATGCTTTGATGCCACAAGAATGAAAGTGAGCCATGTTCGACCTTGTAGTCCTTTGCTGACTTAGGTCACAATGCGAGGTTCACTCAGTAGTCAGTACACACTCTCGGGTAATCGTCACTCAAAGAATGAAAGTGAGCGATCAAGCAAAGAACAGTCTGAGAAATCTTCCTTCCTCAATAGGACTAAAATGAGATTACAGGTTCATTTTCTTCACAGATCTTGTGGATGAGAATACCCGATGCAGTATCTAACAGATTACACAGGAAAAAACTGTCCAGAATGTGTCCAAAAAGGACCTGGGGATTGAGAATATAAAAGACAAAGACTCAGGAAGTCATTCAAAAAGTTAGCCATATGGTGGGAACACACCTTGGTAGTGACAATGTTGACTACATGAAGATTACCAATCACTCCGACTATGGCTATAACATCAAATAATTGTTGGAGCGGAGAATGAGGGCATTGACATAGCGTTAGACGCCCAATCATCAAAGGGTGAGACGTAAAGCCACAGTCTTACACCAAACAGCTCTAACGAAGATTGGCTTCATGCTCAATGACCCAAAGAATTTCTCCTGCTGCTTCGACTCTGTCAAGACAAATCTAAACATCAGCCTGATATGGCAGTTGCAGAAGAAGCTTAAAATGAAACCATTGCAAAAGAACGAGCCAAAGATGCAGAGAGATTCAAGGATGAGTTATATATTTTCTGATTTTCTCTATGGATAAATGACTTTTACAGTTTAACTAGCATGCTTATCAGTCCTAAAACAAGCAAATGAAGACTTCACAAGCTACGATTGAAGCACATGCCAAGATCTATAGAACAAGTGCTATTGTTCAAAGGTTCATGTAAACATGTTGACCAATAATTTTTCTTCTAAATTTTCCTTCAGTTTGTATGGTCATTATCGAAAATATAAATAACTAAATCTTGATATAATGCAATCTTGAGTACTGCCATGAAATATGTCAAGTTCACAAAGAAAACAAACAGTACATAGACCAACAGGCCATGTACAATTCTCAGATGGCTTTTAATTTGTACATATTAGTGACAGTGATGAAGCAGTAATATACTTTGTCAGAAATTTTTTTTAACAAAATTCCAACTTACCATTGTACGATTGTACTCGTGAGCTTTCAGAGTGAAAATATGAGTTGGACAGCATTTCACCAAGAGCCAAAGATTCGAGTTTGGTCAAAACCTTTGGGCATGAGGCATCTTGCTTCAATCTCCTGGAACACCTTTCTGACTACTTCCTCTTCACCACATTTACGAAATCCATCAAGAATCTCAGTCAAGATAACTGAGTCAATAGTAACAGATCTTCCTTGCATCTCCTTCAATACTTGCAGTACTCCATCATAATCCTCATTCTTGACGAATGTGGATACTAACATATTGAAAATCGATTCATTTGGGTGACAACCAGCTCTGACCATACTTTTGTAGAGTTGAAAGGCACGATCCAAGTTCTTCCTCACACACTGTCCAATAATGAGGGCAGAGAAGGTAGAGGAATTCGGTACAAGGCCTACCTTATCAAGTTCCTTAACCAAATACGCCGCTTTCTTTGTTTTCCCCTCCCGGCAAAATCCCAAAATCAACGCATTATAAGTTAAGATATCAGCCTTAACTCCATTACTCGACATCTCTTCATAAAATCGATTGCCCATCTCACTGTTACCAACTTGGCTGTACCCATTGATCATCGTATTGTAAGTAACAACACTCGGAGCCACACCAACTCTTTTCATCTCGCTGAAAAGCTTATTAGCCTCGTGCAGTTTCCCTTCCTTGCATAACCCATGGATAAGTGTACCAAAAGTAACATCGTCGGGGCAAACCCCATTCCGCTCCATTGTATTCTTGAGCTTCATAGCAATATTGAACAGGCCATTATTACAGTGCCCAGAGATCAAAGTGTTATAAGACACAACATTAGGCTTCAAATTTATGTTCTCCATTTCCCTAAACACTTCAACAGCCTTTTCCAGTTTCCCTGACTTGCAAAATGCTCCAATAACCATATTCACAGTATATACATTAGGCGAGATCCTAGACCTCTGCATTTCCCTGTAAAACGCCAACGCAATATCGGGGCGGTTCAAACTCATCAACGAGCTAATGTACGCATTGCAAGACTCAACGGTGGGGAGAAACCCATATTCCTTCATACTACAAAACATGTCCGTAGCATTCCTAAACTTCTTCATATGCGCACATGTTTTAAACAACAAATCGAAAACGCGGGGCGAAGAATCACAAACCCTATATGAATATAGCACGGCATCGAAGAGCTTACCTGGGAGATCAATGTCGAAAGAACCCGGTTCAAACGACTTCCTTACAATGGACTCCGCCGATTTAAACTTCCGGTTCTTAGTAAGAACATGGAGAATTATCGAACGAGTCTCGAGGGTATGCAATTTGGGGCTTTTAAGCTCAACCCATCTGAAGAACTCGAGGGAAAGCACGTAATCCTTCTGGGCTTTCAGCAGAACGTGCTTGACTCTGAACGGCGTTAACCGGGAGGCTAAAGATTCGAGCTTGGCCCAGTCGGAGTGAGTGAGGTGACTGTGAGCTACATTCACGAAATCAAGGTCTTGACCTATGGGTTCCGGAATCGTTCTGTGCGGCAACGGAATTTGGGTCCGATTCCTTCGCTTCGAGTTCGCGGAAGCAATCGATTGTACTATATTTTGGTGGAAATTCTTGGCAGAATCGACAAGTATTGAAAACCTGCGAAGCTGAAGGCTATACATCGATCACAGTTCAGACCTTCAGCATCATTGCTTAAGCTTCTGCAAATCAATTTGTTTCCCAGATCGTGGGAAGTGAGGAAGAAGACGAAAGCCTTTTTGCTTATCCGACAGTATTGGGCCATAAGCTTGAATAAAGTTTAATTCTTTAGGCCCATTACAAAATGGACAATTGGATACTGTGTGTATCGAGTAAGATTTAGCCCGGATCCAAATTATTTTGGGTGGCAATACTTTTTTTAATAATATTTTATTTACAAAAATGGTTGCAGACTTGCAGCAGCTATCTGAATGTGTAATTTGGATAGAATCGCTTTTGTGACTCTTGATAGGTTCTACTTTGCAAGGTGAGCACAGTTTCATATTTATAATTTTTATATTGTAGTCTGTAGATTCATAATTATAGAGCTATATGTTTACAATTTTATAAATATATTTTCATAATTATAGAGCTATATATTCATAATTTTCGATGTTCATATTTCTAATTGTTAAACTCTGTTTTCACAAATCATAGAACTATATGTTCATAATTTGATAACTATATAGTTTAGAAATTATTAATCTACAGTACATATTATAAATCTGCAGTATAGAAATTATAAATCTACTGTATAGAAATTATAAATCTACTGTATTTAAATTATGAATCTACGGTTTAAAAATTATGAATCTAAAGTATAGATTTTATGGATCTACAGTATAGAAATTATGAATCTACAGTATATAAATTATAAATCTACAGTACATAAATTTTGGATATGGAACCGTGCCCACCTTGGGGCATGATTCCACAGCATAACGTTCCGTTATAGGACAACCCTACTTGCCCTACGGGATTCACAAGTGCACTCCTCGCCCTCAAGAGTTCCAAAATTGCACTTTCCGGTTTAGGAAGACTCACAAGTAGGGGCAGAGCCAGGATTTGTAGGTGTGGGGGGTGGGGGGGGGCTATCACAATTTGAGAGAGAATAATAAAATATATTAATATTCATTTAATATATTTCAAAATACATCATTATATTACAAATCTACTAAAATTTAGAACGTTTTTCTTGCATGTCACGACAATCATCTATAATTGAACCTATACTAAATTGTTTTTCAATGTATACTAACAAATAATCATTAAGAAATTCATCTTCCATCTTGTTACGAAGTGTAGTCTTTATTATATTCATGACAGAAAAATATCATTCTGTAGTAGCTATAGGTACTGGAGGTGTGAGAATGAGAGTTACTACTCTGAACACAAGATGCTATATGTTCAATTTTCTAGTTTTCACCACTATTGTCATAGATCAGAAATACTTTCTACTGCTCTGAAATCAGGAAGTTGTTGCACATGTTCAAAATGTTCAAGTTGCATTCTCAATTGTAAAATCTCATAATCTTCAAAGTCTTGAGGGTAAAACTTCTCTACCAACTTGCAAACGTCATCAATTCTGAATATTGGTAGTAAAATAACATTTTATTATATTATTATAATAAGCACCGTTGCAATGTATTTCATTTGCAAATTAAAAAGTTAACTAGATAGCAATTCATTGTACAGTATCCACAGAACATAAATTCAATTTGCAAATCTTTACAAATTGACAATTCAATTAAGGTATGTACACTTTAACCTTCAAATATGGCAGGTAGTCTTTACAAATCATAAGAATGAATGAAACATAGTATATGCCAAACTAATGCTGTTAAAATAATATGAAATTCAAATGGCTAATTGGAGCCTAAGACTGATTACACTCATTTTTGAAATACTTTTGGAATCAAAGAATAGAGGAAAAAATAACTCCATGAAGAGTTATGAAAGCAGTGACTCAAAACACAAGCCTATAAAATTTAGTTCTCTCCAGAAAATTCTCAGATTCTATTTCGGTTGACCACTGCATGTTTCCTCCCTTTTACATTATTTTCTAATACATCAGTACATCACATTACCATTTATACTTCAAAGAATCAAAGGGTAACCAACAATTTTACATAATTACAGGTCAAATGCTACTATATCAAAGAGATAAAAAATCTCACTTGTTGTGACCAATGATCAAGAATTGTGAGTCATCAGTCCACAATGAATCACCGTTCACCAAAGAGCAAACATTTCCTAAATATGAATTGTTCACCTATAAACATTGTTAAAACCATTTAAACAAATTTAAATCAAAAGTGTGGACCAATAAAAAAAAAAGTCATTAACTTTAGAAAAATGAATCTGGGAAACCAAAAAAGAACAAGAAATATGTGATTGTGTATGTTCAACACTTTAAACATGGGTTCGAACTTAACTTTTCTATACAATTTGTACAGTTGTCTTCTCATTGTATTTATTATTTCATTATTTATGTTAGTTGTATTAACCAATCACACTGTACAATTATTATATCATTTAAATTGTGAGTTATATATAAGTAGATATTTTAAGAAGGTCGGTCACCGGGCAGGGATGATGATTTTGCACTTTGTAGGAAAGAAATCATATTTTTGGCAAGAGCCAATTGCAAAGTATTGCAAGGAAGAAATCATATTTTTGGAAAGAAACTTTCAACTAATTAAAATGAAATTGGGTAATAATAATAGAAAGAGAAATCAAAAGTTTGAGACTTGAGAGAGACAAACCTAGATAGCAAACCATTTGAACTGTGAGCGGCAAAAATTACATAAGCCACAGCTAGTAGGCCTAAGCTGATAGTTAGATTGCACACGTGTCTCAAATTGAAACATATGCTTCATCTTAACTAAAAGCCTAAGCTGATAATTGGATTGAACATTAATGGCTATATGCTCAACAAGGGAGCCCACAAAAAAAACAATATTAATATATAATTACCATGTTCTTCCACTATTTTTTTTTATGGGTTGGGTTGGGTTGGGTTGGGTTGGGAGGGGAGGGGGGGGGGGGACAAGGCCCCCTACAGTTACCATGTTCCTCATGCTCACAAGTGCACTTCTCGACTTCATGATGATTTATAGTGTATTTTTCGACTCGAGTAGTGTATGTCTATTTATTACCATTCGCATTATTAACAGACTTCCCGAGCGCCCTGTCAATAGACCTCCTAATCGCCCTGTTAATAGACCTCTACAGTCACCCTATCAGTAGACATCACGATCGCCTTGTTAGTATATTTCCCAACCGACACCGTTAACAATCACACAACGCTCACCAAATGTCCTATCATATGGTCAAACCTCTAGGGGACGTTTGGTTCAGGTTATATAACATAACCAAGGGAATGTGACATTCCAAAACTCACATTTCGGTGTTTGGTTCATATTATCTTAGGAAATCTAACATTCCCAAGGAATGTCACATTCCCCCCACATAGGATTTTGAAGGGAATGTGATTCCCTTCAAAATCTTAGGTAATGTAAGATAACATTGGTTATGTTAGTTTATATATATATATATATATATATATATATATATATATATATATATATATATATATATATATATGTTAGTTTATATATATATATATAATTATTTTTGTAATTATATATTTTTTTATTTTTATTATGTTATGTTAGCATATAAAATAATTTTGTTTATCAAGTTCAAGATTTTAGAGTTAATATTTTAAAATCATGTAATTATATATGATACCGTTATCTTATTTATTTATTTTAATTTTTAAATTTATTAAAGTATATGAAAATATGTTAAGGATATTATAGTGTGTATAAAAGATAACCCTAAACCAAACATGATTATATTACATACTCCAATTTTAACCAAACACAGGAATCTAACATTCCCAGTAATCTAACATTCCCAGCAATCTAACATTCCTTAGGTAATCTGACATTCCTTAGGTAATCTGACATTCCGTGAACCAAACGACCCCTAAGGGACACGTAGAAGACATGCCAAACAAGCTTTGGTAGGACGGACTTGGTGGGACGGCGGGGGCCCACCAAGCCCACATAGTATGTATACATTATTAGTATTTGTGTACCTCCACTTATTGGGCCTACACCTAATTACTCCATCAATTTTTTAATATAAAAATCATTTGATTACAAATTAATGCTCAATATGACAAGTAGCTGTTCAAATATACTTTCTCAACGGAATGAAGCACAAAGAGTTAAATATACTTTCTCAACGTAATGAAGCACAATGAGTCAACAACGCCTCCAATAAGGCTCAATTTCATGACCCCCACATAGAAGAAGTCAATACATACCATCTGAGCACAAAGTGCTTGACCTCATATGATAATTTAGTTGACAATAAAATTGATTGTTAAGGCATAGACATTTTAAGTCAAGTTTCATATTTGATATATTTGAATTTCATATTATCCAAACAATTTGAATTCATCATTATTGTAGAATTAGAACTTATCTTCCAAATTATATTTTACTTTTATTTATTTTTAAAAATTTATTCACCAATTACAACTTATTGCTCAAAGCATACTACTTTAAATACATTTACTTCTTTTTATATATTTCCACTACTTTTATTTGACGCTATATATATTCGAATCATCTTAATCTACTAATCTACACCTTTATATAACTTATAATTAATTAAAAATGTATAATTTTCAACATCATACTTTGTACTCTATGCATCATCTAAGAATCATATACAACTTTATATTATTTGGACAATCCAAAGGAAATAAAGGGGAATGGAATCTCTCTTTATTGAAGATAATGTTTGAATGAACAAAATGCAAATCTAGTACCACGTTTGACCTAGCTACTTTCAATTTCCTTGTGAATAAATTTGTCATTTTTTAAAAAGAAAATTTGGTATTTTGGTGGTGTACATTGTTAGTATTTTTTTAAAATACATTATTAGTACAGTTTAAATAGTATTCACTATTGTATTCTATACTTTTCTTTCTCATTTTTCTAGTTAGTAAATGCATTAAGCAACTTATAAATTGAGATTGAAGCATTATTTTCATCGTATCTACGAAGACGTGAACTTTTGAATAAATTAATAATAAATAATTAGCGTTATAACCCTTAAAGTATTTGATGCTCGTTAATAAATTTTTGTGCATGCATCCCTCGTTTATCGCTGACAAACAACGTAAGGATCTTGTGCTCTCAATATCTCA